TCAGTACCCTTTTTCTCGAGTTGCGATTCTGATTCAGCTTTCAAGTTGTTCAAGGATTCAAGCTCCAATTCAAGATCTTTGACCCTTGACTCATACCCTTCCTTCTCTTCCACTGTCTTGGATTGATCCATAGTCATTTTTGCAGCCTCCTCTTTGAAATTCTCTATCTGATTAATATATTCTGCAATTTCCTGAGTCTTCTTGCTAACTTCTGTTTCTGATTCAGCCTTTAGGCTGTGCAACCACTTAACCTCTTCCTCTAAATCTTTCTCCCTGGCAACATGTACTTCTTTCTCTTCTAGAAACTTCCTTTCATCTGCCATCTTGTCTGCCAACTCCTGTTTGAGAGAGTCTATCTGGATCAAGTAACCTGAAATTTCTTGACTACTTTTCTCCAGTTGCCTTTCTGATTCAAGTTTTTGCCTGCATAGAATCGCTATTTCTTCTTGCTTTTCATTTACTTTAACCAATAAAGCTTGGACATGTTCATCCAGTTGACTTTTCTGAATGCCAAAGGATTCCAATTCCTTCTGCAAGTTGCTGACATTTTCTGTCAAATTCTCAATTTGAGATAGCAATTCTCTCTCTTTATCCTCGGATTTCTTTGCGAGAGTCGACAGTTCCTCTTCTTTCTGCTTCTCAATCTCTCTTTTCTGGGAATGCAAAGACTCAAAGTCTACTTCATAACCCCTCATTTTGATTTCTGTCTCGCTCTTGTGAGAGTTATGCATCTCTGCGTGACTAAGAAGCTCTTTCTCTTTGTCGGCCAATTTTTCTCTTAGTTGGCTACATTCAGCAGCAAGTTCTTGGATTTCGACATGCTTCATTTTAATCTCATCTGCCAAAGACTTCTTATCGGCTTCAGTTGCTTCTAGTGTTTGACTTATGCTTGATAGCTCCTCTTCTGTTGTTTCCAGTTTCTCCTTCATTTTAGGAAGTTCAGCTTTTACAACTCCCAGTTCCGACTTGAAATCCTCATTTTCTCCTTCCAACCGATCAATAACGGCTCTTAGTTCTTCAAGAGTTCCTGCAGCTGTCTCCTTCTCCGACAATAAGCTACTTTTCTCTCTGCTCATATCTTCTAGTTTCTGAATGAATTCAGCTTCTAGAATTCTGGCATTTTCGGATTTCAGATTGAGGTCACTGTTGTCAGCCAAAAGCTTAGAATTTTCTTCATGCAATCTTTCAGCTTCGAGTTTCAACTCTACGAACTTCTTCTCCGTTTCTTGTTCTTTGTTTAAAGCAGCCTGATATTCTGAACCCAGTGCTTCCTTTTCTTCTGTTGCAACAGCCAATTTTCTTGTCAACTCGTCAATATCTGTATGTGATGCTTGAAGTTCTTCCTTGAGGATATCAGCTACTTTCATCTTTCCATTTTTACTGCCCTTCTTACTTGAAGAATCATCAGAATCAGAATCTGAGCTGGAAGAGGAAGAAGAGTCTTTTTCTTTCTTTGAATGAACTTTTGCCCTCAGTTCTCCTGTGATATGATCATAACGTTCATAGATGGATTGATGATGTTTGTGGAAATCTTCAATCAACCCAACAAGTTTGTTCTTATCATCCTTATCTTCCTCTTTAAGAAGCTCTAAAATCTTCTGATAATTATCTTCCATTTCTGCAAAAACATTCAGAGCTTTTAGTCCATGATATAAATCTTAAGTTTTTCGGGACATCGCAGTTGAAAACTTCAACAGCTGATGCAAATTTTCAAAAACGACAGAAGCCCACAACACACCATGCTTCACCAAGAAATTCTACAAATTCAAGGCTATTAGCTAAAGAAAGCAACTGACGAGATTGATTTTTTTTGTTCTTTTGCTCAGCATTCTTTCATCAGCTGCAACTCCACCTTGTAATTAGCATGGAGTTAAAAGACAAAATAGGAGAGGATAACTGGGATTGACATCAGTTGCTTAAAGTTTGTCTCCAGCAGCCAATTAGTTGATTTTTGGTAGTTATGCTTCGAGTTGACTAATCCCAACTTTTCAGGAAAGTCAATGATTCAAATATTAGTGATTAAAGGTGAGGTGATCGACACGTTAAGCCATCGTACTTGCTTATTTGTTGCAAACTACCCATTGTGCTTGCAAAATGAGGGGTTTTGGAAAGATTACGTACATGTGAGTGAAAAAAAAACCATGGTACTTGGCACTTCTTTGTCAAAGCTTATTCTTGCAAACTAGAGGGTGTTCTTTTTGCATTTTTGTTAGACCAATGGTTCTGTTTGCAACAAAAAAGCCAAGTACAATGGCTAGAAAAGTCAATAACGCTTTTCAGAATTTATGGTGGCCATGAGTATCGTATTCGCTGATAAATGATAGTCTGCAAACATAATTGGCGTTTTCTTGAGTTTTGATAGATTATTAATTTGATTTACCTATAAGGGAGCACAAAATCTCCAGACAGAACAGATATGCATCAGAAAGTTAGCAGATCCAAACTTCCAAAACTATGAAGTGATTGGGTGAAGTGGATTGCTATGACACTCATTTTCTACCAGCTTGGATGCCTTAAATTCAGCAAATATCAATATATCATGAGTAGAGTATATACCTATATTGCTCCCTTTAAGTTCCTCATCTTTGTCAGGATCAATATCACTTCCAAGGATTGACTTGATTTTATTTCTGAAACGATGTTTCCCCATTTCCTTGTTTCGTTTTCACAAAAGTTTTCTTCAAATCTTCAAGAAGAAAACAATGTTTGTGAGAAGAACAAAGATGATGCTCTTCAATTAGACAAGCCAATCTTGTTCACTAACATAATGAGCTTGATCCTGAAAGTCAAAAATGGATATTTCAGAAATCCGCACACAAATAGAATGGGCCTCAGATAACTTAATTTAACTATTAAAATGCCATACTTTCCCTGACCCACCATAACAGCTAAGAATAAATAACAATGACAGGTATAGTAAGAAAATAAATGGACGATCTTAGGTTGTCACGCTACTTAAAAGCAAGCATAAATAGAAAATCACCAAAAAAGTTCCTTCATTTTTTTTCCTTTTGTCATTTAGTAGTCTTAAGTAACAAATATTATTTGTGACATATCAGGTATCCTATGTTGCAAAGATATGGCTGTCTAGATATGAATGCATGATAAGTGTAAAATGGGATTTGAAAATATTGAAAAACTAGAATTGCAAGGATGATGTACATATGACTTTATGAACAAACCAATAAAAAGTAGTCATCTTATGTAATTCATACATAATTCTTAGTTATTGTGACCGTATTCAGACCAATTAGAAAAAAGGTGTTCATTGTTTCGCTTGGCCACCTTCCTTTTCGCTTGCAACAAGAAATGGGTTGTTTTATTTTAGATTCTAGCCTAGGTTTTCAAATTTGTTAACCACAAATTTTTCCTTTTTAGGTTTTTAATAAAATCGTCGCATATATCTTGCCATTTCACATCCCCCTAATCCCGCATACCGTGTATTCACTCAAGAATTTGAGATACGGTCCCACGGGAACAGCCAAAGAATAGCACGCTAAGCATCCAATAGGACGATTCAACAGGGGGTAAAATCACCTGCTTCGTAGCGTAATTTATGTTAAAGAAGAGTGAATTATGTTAAAGAAGAGTGAAAAGTCTATTCTAGAGACAAGAATAAACATGTGTGCTGCAAATAAAATCATGATAGATGGGCTTTTCTTTCAAAATCTTAAAGCAATTCAAAAAGGCATTATGGATATTAATTCTACGATGAAGAACGAACCTCACAATTCTAGGATCATTGAATCCCGTGATTCATATATGTTGCTATTGAGATGCAATAAAATCAGATTTGAGTACCAAAATTCAAATTCAAAGACGAATCAAATAAAAATAAAAAACTGGACAACTGGTATCAACTCACAGCTAAAGCTCGTTAAGTAAATTCAACAACATATCAAAATTCAAACTCGAATATGACTGGCAAATCCAATCAACATCATCGGTCAAACTTCAATGAAACTTGACAGATGAAGCTAAAAACGAAGATCAACAATTTCCAATTCACATAAATGAAACTTTAATGAAATTTACGGACAACGATAAATCAAGTGGCTATAGCCACTAAAACTTACGAATATTAAACAGATGATAGAAATCAGGTAGTGGAATTAGTACCAAACTCAACTGATCATGACGTAACAATGAAAATTAAACGACTTACCTTCGAATTTCTAATCGAATCAGAGCTTAAACTCCGTCGATCACCGCACCAATAGCGAATCAGCTCAAAATTGAGTTGTTCCTCTGAGTATTTAGTGTGTGTTTGGTGTGTGAGAGAGAGAGAGAGAGAGTGAGAGAAAGACAGAGTAGTAGCCTGAATGGACTAAATTTTTGATCTGGGAATTAACATTTTTATTCGAATCATGCCCCAATTATTTCAAAAAAGTTTCACAACACCCCCACAAGATACAAACATAGACGGTTCTCACCCTTATGGTTCTGCAAAAATGGTAATAACGCCAACCTTTGAAGTGTTCCCACCATATAGGTCCACGACCATCATGGAAGAGGTAAGAGTAAGTAGTACCTAGAGTCGAACCTTATACCTCTTTTGCGAGCTTGGGTCGGTCACGAACTCAGCTAACTTATTCTTTTTGTCCAATTACGAGCGTAATATATAGGGTCGTCTCTTAGCATGTTAAATGTGAAATTTTGAACAGGACCTCCAAAATTTTGGGGCCCAAATTTACATGTGTTTAGGACCTTTTTATCGACCTATGTAAAACTATAGCCGAAATTATTTAGGTTCAAACCATTACTTATTTGGTTTTAGGTTCAAATCAGTAATGGTTTAGGTTTAGTTTCAGATTGTTAATCGTTATAGGTTTAACCCATTTTTATTCTTAACATATATCATATGTCATCTCATTTATGCAATGTAATCAAAAGTTTTGGATGTAGCAGGACCTCCAAAAAGATTGGAACGTCCATGGTAATATAGCAAACGCAACTTTGTTTTTGCAAGCTTGAGAACTTCCCCTAATCTGCTATAAGCAGGTCAAACTTATCCACCAGCTAATGGGCTTAAACATTATTTTACATTAGAAAAACAAAATGTATGTAAAATCATTCGAATTCATAATTTATTTTCCAATTTAAAATAAGAGGTAAATACATAACAATGTGCATGGTATAAGAAAGAAAAAATAATTTCATAAAAATATGGAGTACGGACATTTTCTCTTCAGATATTTATTAATTTTTATGTTATAATTTTTCAACAACAAAATAATTCACCACCGAATCTTTCGAGATCGAGATTCAAAGACATGTTTATGGACATATCATGTATAACTAGCTTTCAAAACTAATGACTTCAGCATCTTCAACAGAGCCTGAAACCAACAGATCACAATACTGTGACAAAAGAGTTAAATATGCAAGCGACCAACAACTTAAAGCATGTAGTATTATCCATGTATGCAACACATTTTTGAAGTATGTCCACATTGTGTAGATATACACTAGATTAGACGATCCAAATAGTAAAATTTCCCATCGGAAAAGACATAAAAGATGTATTTTTATGGTTACTTGTTCTGCAAAAGATATATCCCCCATTAATTTTATATGGTTTCACCGCATTACGAAGGATGTGTGAGAAAATGAGTTAAGATGAGAAGTGTTTTCACTTTTAATGTTAAAACCACCCATGAATTGCGCTTAAGAAAAGAATTGATTTAGTGGTTCGCTCGATAAGGATTGATCTGGTCTTACCCTTCTCACTAAGACGTTCGTTCTCACAGGAACCAAACCCTTCACTGCCTTGCCATAAATCAGGATTTCTTTGTTCAGTTATTCAGTGCTTCAGTTTCAATAATAGATTGACTTCTTCCAGCCCCGTCAGAAAACCGCTTATTTGAATCCATAAACGGTTAGTAAATTTGCTGACTCAACATGCCTTTGCCTCTTCCCTCAAAAAGCCAAACTTTTTTTCAAGTCTGAAATGTGTATGATAATTCAAGTTGATTCAAGAAGCAACCATAATCAGGTGCAGGTAACCATTCTTTCTTGCCAGATAGTTCAAATCCTTTGGAAAACAACGGACAAATTCTTGGAGGCATAATTACAAACATATGGTGTGCACCAAGAAATGCACATGAACAGTGAGTAGTGCGTCGTAAAAACTAAAGAAATCCATCAAAATAGAGAGGAAGAAAGTACCGATTTATAGACGGAGACCGTATAAACTCCAAATCGAGAAGCTCAATAATCAGCATAGTACTTGGTATATCGCATAGCTTCTTTGTTATGTGTTGAAAATTTATACGATAATAGTTGATAGTTTATGAGCATACCAAGTGAACATTAATCTTGGGTGGATAATTTAAAAGGTTAAAAAGTATAGGGTGTTATATGTACTAAAGTGAAATGTAAGGGGTGAAATGGAAAAACAGAGATTATTGAGATGGCATGGAAAAGGGATTTTGTCTGGCATGCATGACAGAAAATCAGAGTCGGACCGCATTTTTGTGGTTTTAAATTTTTTTAGGGAGGGATATTACTGGTGGAAAATAAATAAATAAATAAACGCAAATACAATTAATTTAATCTATATATATATATATATATATATATTTTATTTTCTTATTATAAATTAAGTGCCTTTTTTATCAAATAAGATTTGTCTTTTTGTCATTTCTTTTATAATTTTGTACATCTTGGTTTTTAAGATTAGAAGGGTATTTGCGCAATACAACGAGATAAATCTCGATTTTAATGTTTAGTTTTTATTATTTATCTCTATCGATATAATACGATTTTATGTGGTTTTGAAAAAGCAATAATGTTCTTATTTTTGAATGAAATGTAAATTTGAATATAGCATAAAATTTTGAAAAAAATAAACCGATATTAGTATAAAATTAACTGTTTAATAGTTCTCGTTTTTTTAGTGTAACTTCTTTAATTCAATTTCTTATTATAACTTAATTTAGATTTAATAACAAAGTAATTTAGTTTTGGTTTAATAATATAAT